AAGCGTTTTTTCCCAAATGTAGAAGTGCCCCATCTTCCCTTTAAGTCAGTTAATTAGCTAAAACTTAAATCAGTGAAGACAAAAATATGGTCCTAACTGGAAACTTGCTGAGCACCATTAAAAACCACTAAATAAGTACATTTTAGGGAGATTTGGGCAGCATGGGGAGCGTGGGAAGCGCAGTGGTGCTTTAAGGTGTACCACTCGTGCTAGGCACGTAGCCAGGATTTTGGTCTGGGGGGTCCTGCCCATGAAAAAATGCTCTATGAGGTGGAAATGGAGAGGAGACCCTAGCAAAATGGAATATTTTCGAAAAGGGGGAAGAGAGGAGCCCTTTGCCCCCCCCCCCCCTGGATACGTGCCTGACTCGAGCAATTGAAGAGGCACATGGCTGGTGATGCGAAAACGCATGTTTTTTTGTCTCTTATCATCTGCATTTCCACACCGCCAGCCTTGCGTCCACTGCACGACTGTAAACTTCAGTGCACCAGCACGCCGCCTCCCATGTACCCTACATTTTTCTAGAATTTACTTATTTACCGTAATATCCCAAGATGTACACCCCGAAAAGGTAATCTATTCCTATTTATGGCTTGATTTGCAATTTTCTTTTAAACACCGAATGGTAGCCCACTCTTAGTAATCGTTGTGTTCGGATCAATGATGACCTTAGAGTAAATACTTCTAGTTAACTATGGCAGGATATAAGCGAACATTGCTCACTGAGAAGTACAGTCATCTTTGCTTCATAGCCCCTCGCCACAATAACAAGTTTGGCAGAGACGCGTAGTCCAAAAATAGCATTTTTTCAAGTTTTCTTGACAGAACAATGAAAGTTAGCCTACTCCTTATTTTCACTCAATTTTCTCTCGATTTTAGGTGGGCAATCGTTCGGGATATTAAGGTAGTGATTTTTGAAGACTCTCAGCAAGTTTGTAACTGGAATCATATGTTCCTTTTAACTATAATTAAGAAGTCAATTAACAAATACTACATAAATATCCATCTTATTGTGACAATTAGCCCTTATATTATGTTCCCGTGGCTGTATAACTCACCTGCACTGACTGCGCTAGTGTAGATTTTGTGGCTTTTCGTAAACAAATCTGTAAAGCCTAAAAAAAATACCCCGTATATTACCGGTAGATTTCGGGACTCTAAGCACGTGTAGAACACCGCAAAAAGCCATGCCAGAAGCCGGGTAGCGGAGGTGTGCTCACTTCGCAGAGCTGTGCAGCTGGTAGAGGTGCTGCATGCGCACGGCGGTCATTTGTGCCAGGGAGGAGCGCACCACGTCCAGCAGGGCCCCGACCGACTCCCGAGTGTGGAGCTGCACCTCTGCAGGAGCCTCCTGCAGCACGCTGGCCGACAAGGCGTCCCCTTCCAGCTGCATCTCGCTCAGCCGCATTGCCAGGAAGCACTCCAGCTGCGAGGCAGTGTCGCCAAAGGCACACTCACAGATAAGACGCGCTCCCCCAAGGGGCAGCCTGCTGTCCAAACCCTGCACTCGGCACACAAAACTGCCACAGACATGAGAATTTCCTATAAATCAGATGACAAATTACACGAAAAGTGTCAAGGCCAAGGTATCTTCTTAGGCTACACACTGACTCTAAAGCTTAGGTATTGATACTTTCACAGAATGTTGCCAAAGTTAAAGGCATAGATGTGTAGCCTTTGGAAAGGCTTCGTGTTGCAGACACATGCGTGGGCACAAAAAGCACAGTTCAAAACTAGATTATGAAATGAAAAAAGAAGAAACGTGGATTGCGGGACGGCTACAGATACAACTTTGAATAAAATTTAGTATGAATGTAGGTCAGTTGCAGAGAAAAAGATAGCTATCCGTACAAGCCTAATAATTATAATACTCTTTGAATTCAGCCACCTCTTCTCAAAAGGGGCCTCTTTGCTAAGCAACAGGTTCGCAACACCCGAAAAAAATATGCTCGGCTTATAATGTTCTTGAAATGCGACGAAGGTGCAATAGCACTTCACGGAGGGTTTCTAACAAGCGGCTCTTTCCATCGGAATTTGGCAGAGAATACTTATCCCCGCTAACTTGAGCAGAAAGTTGGGACATCACATCACACGACACTACGACGTTACACGACATCATGTCACATGGAACCATTGAGTCGCACAACAATGTCTTGCGGTCAGAGCAACACGAGCCAGAAAGATCCATGGAGGGTTGCCACGCGTCACTTTAAAAGAAAACCGTCTCACCTCCTGAAGTTCATTGAGAAAGAGTGTCCGAGTCTCCGGGTTGTGCAACAGCGACAGTGCATCTGCTCCCCTGGCCACCTTGGCTCCCCCCTGATCCGACGCAGGCTCTGCGGACCGACGCAGAAAAGGCAGTGAGCCGTGCGAAAGGAGCCAAATGCAAAGGCTGCCCATGGCTGCTCAGAAGACGCACCAGCAACCGCCCCGGGGGCGTCAGCAGCCGTGCCGTCGGCCTCGACGCTGATGTCCCATGAGATGGAGTCTTCGGCGGCGACTACCACGGCCTCCTCTCCTTCCCCAAAGTCCACCTTGGGGCAAAACATGCGGTTGAAATACCAGTGTCTGCATAGCACAGGAAAGTTTGTACAAACAAGCGATCAACGTTTTAATTTTTTTTTTCTTCTCATAACTAGTAGAAGACTGCCAACTGACTGTGTGTTTGTGGTGTAAAGGGTTCTCTTGGGACACCAACTAGCAGGTGTGTTGGTATGGAGCTGTGATGCTCATCAATACATTGTCCGAGTAAATTTAGGAAATCTACCCATGGTGGACCTACATATCTGGAAATGCAGGTAAGTGCAAGATATGAGTGGAATGAAAAAAAAAAAAAAACTTTGTCTTTAGCAGTTACTGTTATGTTACACACTTACCCTATACTGGTACAGAAATAATGTGCAGCCTGCACAAAAGAACCTTGCAAAGCTTTGTTAACTGTGCCTGTTAATTATTATGTGGATGAATCTAGAGAGTGATAGATTAGATTCCATGGTTCTAACACTAGGTGTGGGATGGTAATTAAAAATATAAAATATAAAAAATGTGCTCTGAAATTTTTAACTGATTGAAATGAAGCGTATTCAAGCTTGGATCCTCCGAGAGTTTTATAGAAAATTTTTCTATAGAAGAATAAGCACATACAGTCGAGCCCTGTTGTATATAACACTAGGATATTTCGAATTATTGTTTATATCAAACAGTCCGAACAACCCTTTGAAAATTACATGTAATTCTATAAGTGTGCTTCTGTACCGAACTCCCATGGTAAGCACACTCGATATAGCGAAAAAAGCCCAGCCTCCCGGCGCTTTTCCTGGGATCCGATTGCGCTGGTGGCAAGCACATTGCTCCAGTTGCTGCCAGATCACACACTGGAACACTGCTGTCACTGTGCGACTCTTTAGCCCCAAAATAAAATATGCAACAGCAAAAAAGTCTTTGACAAGTCGAGTATGTGACAACAACAGTTGTGCAATCGCACTTTGAACTATACTCATTGTTTATCTTTGTTTCCCTTTTTCTTTCCCTGTTATTGCTTTGCCAGTTTTGTTTCGCGTTTTCTTTTTTTACTCTCTGACTTTAATCAGCTTCATGTTTTGTTGCTTGCTTGAATTTTTTCTGTAGATCAAGAAAGAAACTTTCATTTTTTTTTTAATTCTTTTCGTGTTTTGTTGCCCGTGCTGTATGAAGGTCGCGGCCAGGCGCACGCGAAAGGACGGCGGTGTTTGCTGCCCTTGCCAACTACGGCTTAACAAGGCTCTACGGTATTTATCGGCTCTTGGGTGCTGTCTCTGGTAAGTTCTTGTTTGTCAAGCCCTTTGGTATTAGCAGAGACACGTGGAAATTTCAACTGGAGCTTAAGTTAAAGGGATTGTTCGGTCAAAACCGGACGTTCCTAAGCTTTTGCGCTCATTAGGTCGAGGGAGCCTTCATATAGACAAACGTCATATTTATTGTGATATATGATGTTTCCACATTAATTAAACCTTTCATGAGCATGTGTTTGAAACCGCACCCTGAATTTCGCCAGTGTCAATGACTGACATCCGTAGCTGCTGCGTGACGTCACATAACGCAAAGGATCGTTGGATGGTCAGGATAACAAGCGTTGGTCAATGGACGTCTTTTATTTGTTTCGAATTATATAGTCTTTTAGGCTGTACCCTCAAATATGTTCCTAGTAATGTACCTAAGCGAGTGTAAAAAAATTGCGCCTTTCAGCAGGACATTACTTGAAGGCAGCCGTTAGCTTCCAGCAAACATATGCCGTTTCGAGCATTCGCAACTGCGACGGCCACTGATCAGACAAGGAGCGCTTGCAAAGCTAGAGGACACAGATTGTGTCTCTGAAGCGCCATCTGGGTTCACGAAGTGACATCTGGGCTTACATATTGGGGGATCCACTGGATCGGTGACGCGGCTGAAGGTCGTTCTTTCAAAGGTGATGCCCGCAGGTCGAAGGCAAACAACAAATCATTCAAAATGCATGTAACTTCCTAGATCGTCACTTGACTCGGAGAAGCTTGGTGAATCATAATCACGCTCTGATTGATTGATTGATTATTAGGTGTTTAATGGCGCAAAAAGCAACATAGGCCATGCTGCGCCAAAGAGATAATTAAAAGACTCTATAGTAGAAGGAAGGAATTACTATGCAATGCACTATGCAGAGGATCTATAACTGGTGCAGGTAGCCAGTTTTTTTAAGAAAATCTAAAATGTGATCAAAAGGAACTAAAGGTTCATCTCCCAGTAAGAAGACTGGATGAAATGGAAGATATCCAGAAAGTAAAGGAAAACTCGTCCGGCGTTCCTGATCAAAAAATTTGCAGTGCCATAGAATATGCAGTATAGTTAGCGATTCACCGCAATGCTCACAGACTGGGGTGTCCTCACCACAAAGAAGATGTCGATGGGTGATACGTGAATGTCCAATTCTCAAGCGACACATTAAGACTTCATGGCGACGGTCTCTATGGTGCGAACTCTCCCATAACTCCAAACGTGGTTTGATAACATGTAGCTTATTATTTATTTCTTTGTCCCAGTCTTGCTGCCAGGCATAATAAACTGCTTTTTTGAGAACCGGTTTAAAATCTTCTTGAGGCAGCTGAACAGGTGTTTCCAGAGCATCCTTAACGGAGGCTGCTAGCCTATCCGCCTTTTCATTACCTGAAATTCCCACATGGCTTGGTACCCAGCACAGCTTGATATTGTATCCCATTTGGAAAGCCAGGTTTAACTCTGCCTGTACTTGTTGCACGAGCAGATTCTTAGAATCATTGAGGGAACAGAGAGAAAGGATAGCACTCTGGGAGTCCACAAACAAAATAGCTTTTTTGATGTTGTTGCCTAATATATATTCAATAACCATGAGCACACCATAAAGTTCTGCAGTAAAAATGCTGGCAACAGAGTGAAGCCGTCGAGCTTTTACAAAGTGTTCTGAATATACAGCTGAACCGACAAAGTGTGGAGTTTTTGCACCATCAGTGAAGAATTGTGCATAGTCCTTATACTTAGCTTGCAAGGCCATAAACTCTTGCTGAAGAACTAGTGGTGCAACAGATCGCTTATTGTATTTCGCTAGCGACCAGTCACAGGTATAGTGAACCGCCTTCCAAGGAGCAATGCTTCGAACTCTCGTCATCAAGCTACGCTCAGGGAGCGCAAGTTGCAGGGATGTAGACATGCATTGAATGCGGAGGCATAAAGGCCGTACTATACTTGGCTTGTTCTCAAAAAGACGTGAAAAAGGAGATACCTGCAAGCAACGATAGGATGGGTGTTCAGGATCAGATTTGACTTTATAACTATAGCATAGGCTGAGGAACTGTCTTCGCTTTTCTAGTGGCATTTGGTGCGTCTCTGCATACAAACTCGGAACAGGCGACGTTCGGAAGGCCCCCGTGGCAAGTCGAAGCCCAAGGTGATGCACAGGATCCAGCATTTTTAAAGATGACGGTCGTGCCGAGCCATATACAACTGCACCATAATCGAGACGGGAACGAACCAGCGAGTTGTAGAGTCGCAGGAGGCATCTCCTGTCAGAACCCCAGGAGACGTGTGCAAGTACCTTGAGAACATTGGCAGATTTAAGACACTTTCGCTTCAGTTCCTTTAGATGGGGCTGAAAAGTGAGCTTCTTATCAAAAATAACACCCAAAAACTTGTGTTCATGCCTAACGGTTATGTCAGTGCCATTCATCTGCAAGCTGGGATCTAGCGACAACCCCCGACGTAATGAAAAAGGCACGCACACTGTTTTTTCTGGTGCAAACCGAAAACCATTTTCATCAGCCCACTTACTCATCCTATTTATTGCTATCTGCAATTGGCGCTCACAAATTGACAAGTTGCATGAGGAGAAAGCAATCTGGACATCGTCTACGTACAATGAATAAAAAACTGATGATGGTATAACTGCAGCGAGGCTGTTGATCTTAATTGCGAACAAGGTAACACTCAAGACACCTCCCTGTGGGACGCCGTTTTCCTGTGTAAAAACATCCGAGAGCGTGGATCCCAGGCGGACCTGAAAACAACGGTCTGTCAAGAAGTCCTTTATGCAACGCAGCATGCGACCTCGAACACCGCACCTATACAGGTCCTGAAGTATTCCGTACCGCCATGCCGTATCATAAGCTTTCTGTAAATCAAAAAAGACAGAAAGGCAATGCTGCCGGTTCACAAAAGCCTCACGAACAAAAGTCTCTAACCGGACAAGGTGATCCAAGGTTGAGCGACCTCTTCTAAAACCACACTGGTTTTTATCGAAAATTTTCTTTTGTTCTAGAATGTATACTAGCCTTCTGTTTATAAGCCGTTCATAAGTTTTTCCTAGACAACTAGTCAAAGCGATAGGCCGATAACTTGCTGGTAGGGAAGGGTCTTTGCCAGGCTTCAAGATGGGAATGATGTGTGCTTGCTTCCAGCACTGTGGAAAACAAGAAGCTGCCCATAAATGATTAAAGAAAGACAACAAATTCATCAAGGATTCAGCCGACAAGTGCCTCAGCAGTTCATAATGAATCATATCTGGGCCAGGTGCTGACTGCTTCCTTACTGCAAGGGCTATTTCAAGTTCATACATTGTGAACGGCCGGTTGTAACCAGTATCACTTCCAGAGAAATCAATTGGCTGTTTTTCTGCCAAAGACCTGAACTTTTTAAATTTAGTACTGTAATTTGAAGAACTGGAGACCTCTCGAAAATGATCAGCAAGAATGTCAGCCTGATCTTTTAGTGATGGGGATGATGAAGGAAAAAGGGGAATACTGAAGGAGTGGTAAGTACCCCGAATTTTCCGAACACGATCCCATACCTCTTTTGCAGGAACAAAACTGTTCAGAGAGGATACATATTTTACCCATGAGGTCCTCTTGGCTTGTTTTCGTGTCCAACGAGCTTTTGCTTTGCACTGTTTGAATTTAATCTTGTTCTGAACAGTCGGGTACCGCCGAAACCTTCCCCAAGCCTTATTCTGAGCTTTTATGGTGGTCGTACAGTCCTTGTTCCACCAAGGCCTGCA